GGTCCCGTCAAAATCGGTCCAGCCGTTTCGGAGATTATCCGGAACAAACAGACAGACAGACAGACACAAAAATTTAAAAAATTGTGTTTTTGTTATAAGTACCGTATATACTTTCATATGCAATTAGTAAAAAGCAGACACTTCAATTTTATTTATTTGTATAGATTACGACATAGCCGAGGAATTGAGGATTGGCCACAAAACAATTTTGACCCATTTGGAAAAGTGGATTTTATACATTTCTGGCTATACGAAAAAGCTCGTTATTTTGGTACCACACGAGCTCAAGAAAATAATAAAACCATTTCTGAAAATATTGATCACTGGTGATGAAATGTGGATCATCTACGACAAGAACGTGCGAAAAAGATCAAGGTCAAAGGGTAGTCAAGTTCTAAAATGTTACGAAACCCAGATTAACACGCAATAAGGTGATGCTGTGTGAATGGTAGGATTGGTAGAGCATCGTTTATTATGAGCTTTTTACCGACTTTGACATCGGTTCGGATTTCAACTGCCAATAACTAATGATACTCAAGCATGAAATTGAGTAAAAACGGCCTGAATTGATCAACAGAAAAGGAGTGGTCTTTCATCATGATAACGCCAGACCACACACATATTTGGCCACTAAGCAAAAATTAAAAGAACTTGGTTGGGAGGTGTTAATGCATCCACAACCTTGACTGTTAAAACAGTAATTACACAAGTGGTAAAATTAAAAATTTTGTACAACCTACTTCAATATAAATTTTTGATTTTTTTAAATCGCATTACCGATTTCGATAAAATTTAAATGGGACCACCTGGGAAGTATACCCTTTGAAACAAAAAAGAATTTTCCAAATCGGTTCAGGCGTCTTCGAGTAATCGGTGAACGTATATTTAAAAAAAAGATTCCGACGACTTGTAAGCCTCTTCTCCTTTTTGAAGTCGGTTGATAAAAATACTTATAAATACATTTTCTTCGTCGTCACCAGACCTATAGCTTAATTCGCCATAACGTAAAGTTAACTTTCTTAATTTTTAATTTCAAAGTGACAAATGGGGGATATTTATTTATCGTACTGTTATACGGGAACTCGTAAACTAGGTTTAAAAAAAAGCACTTTTATTACACAACGGAAATAGTATAATTTAGAAATAGAAATGGTTACAAATTTTAATTAGCCTGGAGTCGAAACTGGCAGACACGAGATGATACAGAGGTGTTATGGATTCAGCGGTCGGTCAGAGACTGACTTGTTCCCGGGAGCGGGAAGCAGAGCTGCATTTAAATGATGACATGACTATTTAGAGGAAATCTATTCACATATTACCTATGATTAAGGGTTTTCCCTAGCATTGGGAAACCGTAACAGCCTCCCGATTTAGAGTAAACTACACCCTTAAAAGTGGAGTTTATGTTATAGTAAATATAAATTAGCCGATTCGGAGAGAAGGTCCCGTGTTAATGTTTGAGGGGTTACTGTCATCTAATTCAATGTCCTTATTTTCAGGAGTTTTATTTTTTTTAGATTTCATTATTTTCTTATGTATGCCAGTTTTATACATCTTATAAATAATAAAGCACATAATAAAAACTATGATTACAATTGTGATACCTGAATAATATTTTTGATATAAAACAATATGTGGTTTTTCAATTATACTGTTAAGGCTTTTCAGGATTTCAGGATCATCATAAGCTAAGGAATCTAAGTTAACATTCTTAAGATTAACTACCGGTAAGTTTGATACAATGTTATTATACGCTACAATATTACAACAGGAATCAATTAAAATGTTAAAATTAGTTACAATAGTTTTCAGTTGAATTTCCCGATTTTCATGCGGTGTTAAACGAGTGTCTTTACAGTAGGCGACACTTTCAAGAGGTAAGTACAATATACCATTTCCACTAAATTCTGTTTCAGTCGCTTGGGAGTTATTACATTCAATACTTATTTTAGTTTTTTCAGACATTACAAATAACCATCTATTATAGCGTAGTGGCTGCCAGATGCTAACGTGACCATGAGTAAATTTAGTTTCACAAATGGAAGGGATTGAGGTAAGTACTTTTGTAATAATTTCGCTTTCACAGGAGGGCATCGCGGAAAAGGAATACAGTATTGGTGTTTGACAAAGGTAATGATCATTTTTATTACTTTACAATAATCTAGGTTATCTAACTTACAATACATTGATCTATCTTTGCTTATACCAATATATTTGGAGGATGGAATGATGGTCGAATATGACTCTGGATTATTTTTGTCATGAGGGACCAGTGAAGGTAAGTTATGATATATGTTTAAGTGTATAGGGTTAATGAGAGGGATTCTTACTGCAAACACTACTTTTTCTTTATTGAAGTAACTAGATATTTCTGATACATTTAAAATAGTATGCATGTTATCGAGATTTAAAGGAACTGGGAGTTGTTTAGATTCGGGTAAGAATCTGTAGTTTTCGACCAATTCGAGGTAAGTTCTTTAGGTGTTAGGATAGTAGGATACGTGGTAGAGTCATGCTGCAGCTATATTATGGTTGTAGCACGAATGGGTCGGCTCAACCAGGGAAGGACCACGCTCTCACAGAAAACCAGCGTAAAATAGCAGCTTAACGCTGCTGTGTTTCGTATGGTGAGTGTAGAGAACCGGAGACCCTTTTTACTGGCAAAGAGGCATTCCATCTTAGTCCTCACGGGTGACAACGCATCTGCATCTTGAGTCTTTATTGAGGATAGATGTAGATGTCTATGGGTCACAATAACCACTTACCATCAGGTGGACTGTGTGCTCGTTTGTCACCCGATCCTATAAAAAAAAATACAGGATATTAGATTTGCTAAACATGATAGCATTAATTATGTCCTCAACTTTGAAGGACAAGGCTAGGAGACTACTTTCTATCATGGGAGTTAATTCCAGCATGCGAGATCTAATACCTAATTCTTTTGAAGCGTAAGTTACATTTAGGATGTCTTGGGACAGTCCATCAATTGCGTTTTTCATCATTGGTTTTCATTTAGTCTAATTTTATGCAAAGTTTCGTTAAAAGATCTGAGCGAAGAGGTAGTGACTAGTATATTTTCCTTCATCAGGAGGGCTAATTTCTTTTGCTCTATTTCTACCTCTGTAATGGCGATGTCATATCGGGTGGCATCGTCTTCATCAATTGTGCCAAATAATTTTTTTGATGCAGAGGTGTGAAATTAGTAGTGGAATGAGTAGATGTGTTATATGCCAACATAGCGGTATAAACATACTTATGTCAATCAGAATGATTTTCGTTGACATAAGATTTAAGGTACTCCTTAAGTGTGGAGTGACTGCGCTCAAGTGCACCTTGCGTTTGAGGATGGTGTGGAAAAGACCAGATTTCTTTAATTTTCAGGAAGTAGCAGGTTCTTTTAAATAGGTCTGCGGTGAAGTTTGTGCCTTGATCGGTTAAAATAGACTTCGGGATGCCGAAGACAGAAATAAAGTGTACTAGACATTCACATGTCTCTTCTGCAGTCGCATTATCGATAGGGTAAGCGAGGGAATATTTGGTGAGGTCGTCCTGCAACGTAACAATAAATTTGAGTTTATTAAGTCCAGCTTCTGGAAGTGGTCCTACAAGGTCGAGGCTGATTCGTTCAAATGGTTTGGTGGAAGTGGTAGTTATTTGCATAGGTGATTTATTAACTTGTCTTAAGGCTTTATTACTTTGGCATTGGGAGCAATTCTTCACGTATGTATCGATGTCTGTCCGCATATTTTTCCAGAAATACCTCTCTTTTACTCGATTATACATTCGCGTAGATCCTAAATGTCCGGCAATTGGAATGTCGTGGTTTTCACGGAGTATTCTGGGTATCTCGGAGGGTGTAGGGCAAATTATAGCATTGTGATAAATATGAACTGACATTTGAGTATTGTTAAAGATATAGCAGAACATGTTGTATATTTTTGTTTGTCGAAAGGATTTTGGAAATCAGTAATGGCTAAACTTAGGTTGGAATCAGTGGAATTACGTAATATATCGCATCGAAGATTTAGTAGGATTTTATAAATGTCTTCATAAGAACTGTTATGGAAGTGTATACTTTGGTGAATAGAAAATATATTGTTTTTCCTTTGTGATCGAATGAGATGAAGGAATAAAGAGTTCTTTCCCTATCTAAGAGTTCTTTAGAGTTTTCGAGGTTACTTAGAATTTCTTCTACGTGAGGGTTGGAGTCATCGAGATCGATGGAAGTAGGTATGAAAATGATTTTGCAGTTAGTTTTCAGGATGCTTTCGTTGTGTTCTAGGATGTTGGCGTTACTATTAAAGTCTTTGTTGCCCATTGTTTTTAGGAATTTGCTATAATTATCGTCACGAGAAGGATTTGGTATAGGATCTGGAGATTTGTTAGATGTGGTCAGTGTAGGAGGATCGTCGATACCTGGTAGTGAATCATCGTTTTCCAAGAGGTCTACAGAAGGTAGGTTATCGTCGAGGTCTTAGGAATCAGGGGGTAGTTGGATGTCAAGAGTAAGAGGGCTGAATTGAGGTGTGGAGTTATCTTCATTTTGATTAGAATTGGATGGAACAGGATCAGTCTGATGGTTGAACTGGGTTTACAGGATATCGGGCGTCTGCAGCGGCATTAAGTTTTCCTTTCTGGTATTCGATCTCATACTCGTATTCCATTAGTTTTAGGCGCCATCTTTGTAACTTGCTACTAGGATCTTTATGATTAAACAACCACTTTAGTGGTCTATGGTCAGTAATGATCTTGACTTCGTCCATAGAGATATGGGCGAAAGGTTTTACAACCGAACAAAATAGCAAGGAGTTCCTTCTCGGTGGTATTATAGTTACATTCGCTTTTGTTGAGAGTCCGAGAGGCAAAGGCTATTGGCCTATCTTTGCCAATTGGACCTTGACTGACTACAGCACCGATAGCGTAATTCGAGGCATCACATGTTAGGATGAAAGGGATGGAAAAATCTGGATAAATGAGGATGGGAGCAGAAGTTGTTGGTTTTACCATAGAAAGGGGACATCCTTTTTTAGAAGTTGAGTTAAAGGTTTAGCAATTTTTGAGAAGTTGGCAATGAAACGGCGATAATAGGATACAAGACCGAGGAAGGACTTAATGTCCTTCGGGGATTTCGGAGTAGGAAATTGAGTTACCGCTTTTACCTTTTCAGGGTTAGGTTTTACACCATCTTTAGTTATTTGATGGCCAAGGTATGCGACTTCACGTCGGAGAAATTCGCACTTGTCAGGTTGGAGTTTTAAATTGTAATTTCGAAGCCTGTGGAATACTGACGAAAGGTTATCAATATGAGAATTCAAGTCATGAGAGTATATAACGATGTCGTCAAGGTAGACGAAACACCGTATGCCTTGGAGGCCTGTAAGAGCGGTATTCATTAATCGTTGGAAAGTGGCAGGCGCGTTTTTTAAGCCAAATGGCATTCTTGTAAGTTAGTAGTGTCTTTGTGGTACACTAAAGGTTGTTTTGGGAGCATCTTCCTCATTGATCAAAATCTGGTGAAATCCTGACGCAAGATCAAGGGTTGATAAGTATTTGCTCTGTCCTATCTGATCTAAAATTTCGGATATTTGCGGTATAGGGTAGCTGTCACCAACAGTGATGTCGTTTAATTTCCGATAGTCGATAACTATACGCCATTTTTGTTGTCCGGATGCGTCAATTTTTTTTGGGACAATCCAGATTGGTGAAGACCATGGAGACTGAATGTTTTATGATTCCCTGGTCGAGCATTTGGTCAATTTGTTTTTTTACTTCTTGTTTATGTACTGGGAACCGATAAGATTTTACATTTATGGGATTTTAATCGCTAGTTTTTATGTTATGCTTAAGGGCATTTGTGTGGGATAGTTTGTCGCCAGGAATAAAGAATATGTCCGAGTATTCAGAGCAAACATCGTGAAGAGCGTTTGTCTCTTCAGGATTGAGGTGGGAGACTCTAAGTAGGTTTAATACTTCTTGTGTTCGGAGGTAAGAGCTTGTGTTTTTTAAATTGCAAACTATGTAAGTGTTTACTGGATCAAAAGGTTTGGTTAAAGAACTTAAGGGAATTAGTGTGATATCTAGGTTTGACTGTAGGGTTATAGGAGTTTCAGAGGCATTGATTACTGATAAGTTAATTCTTTTGTTTTCTTTGTCTGCGACTAAGCAATTAGCGATTAGTAAATCTTCATGATAATATTGGTCTACTACGAGTCCTTTTACTTCAGGGTTGGAGACAGAGCATTCTATGACGGTTTCAGATCTGGGAGGAATAACATAAGTAGGTTCATTGAAATGTAATTTTATTTCATTTCCACCTATTTTCAAAGTTTCACGAGAGTAATCGATTGTGCAGCCAAAAGCGATTAGCATATCAGTGCCAACTAATACCATCATAAGGTAAGTTTATTTGAGGTATTATATGGAATCTATGTGTGATACTATTTTTATCATTTATTTTTATCTTAAGTGGAAAATAGTCCATTTTAGGTGAAGCTTGGTCAATAGGGTCAATACCTTTCAGAAATATTCCTTCTGTTGCGATGTCAACTGGTTTTTGTATAGAAGATCGTTTCAGTAGGCTAACTGTTGCACCAGAGTCTACAAGGAGAGATAAGCTAGTGTCCGATACTGAGGAATACACAAGTATATGGGGTAAACGTTTCTTGAATGGACCAATGTTAATTTCATAAATTCTGGTTTCAGGAATGGGACGAGGAACAGTTGAGTCTAAGGTAGCTTTAGCACATATGGAATTATTGATTTTACGTTTGGTGAGGCCGGTGGATACAGAGGATACAGCGGGAACAGAGGATGCAGAGTGTACAGTGGATGTGAAGGATACAGCGGATATAGAGGATACGGTGGGTGCAGTGGATGCAGAGAATACAGTGGATGCAGAGGATACAGTGGATATAGTGTTACGTTCATTTCGCGAGTCCCTATCATAAGGGGATACAGAGGATACAGCGGATATAGTATTTCGTTTAATTCGCAAGTCCCTACTATTAGGGGATACAGAGGATACAGTGGATATAGTATTGCGATTAATTCGCGTGTCCCTATCCTTAGGGGATACAGAGGATACAGTGGATGTAGTATTGCGGTTTATTCGCGTGTCCCTATCGTTAGGGGATACAGCGTATACAGTGGATGTAGTATTGCGGTTGATTCGCGTGTCCCTATCGTTAGGGGATACAGAGGATACAGTGGATGTAGTATTGGTGCCTTTGATATAGTAATGTTTTGGAATTCGATGCTTGGGTCTTAAGAGACACCACCGTGAGCCCTTTATGCGTTTAAATCATCGTTTGATTCACCCTGACCTTCCGTGTCACTACTTTCGTTAATATTTACCGCGTGGATTTGAGCTTGATTGTTTTGATAGCGTCTTTGATTATTTTGGTCTCTAAAGCGGTTATTATTAAACTCCCGTTTCCTACAATTCTCGATAGTGTGACCCACGTTTTTACAATAACGGCACACTGGAAGACCTGAAGTAGACGGCCCTTGACTGTTGGTATTGTTTGAGTAGCCTCGTTGTATAGGGTTTCGACTTGGTTGTGATTGGCGTTGAGGCCAGCGTCTTTGATTAGGCGAACTGGTATTATTTGCCGAAGGATTACGCTTAGAAGAGGTCTGCAATATCTTTTCTTCGGATACAGCGAAGCCAATGGCTTCATTTAAGGTTTCAGGGTCACGGCATCTGACTACCGTTGACAGTCGAGGATTTAAGCCACTTACAAATGTATGCAATGCTAAATCTTGCATTGCGGCGACACGGCCAGTCAGTTCACCTTTCTTTTTCGTGGGTATTGAGATGTTGATTTCGGTTAATAGTTTCGATAGGCATGTTTCTACCCGTAGTGCGAACTGGTTGACTGTTTCACTATTAGTTTGACAACAATCTTGGAGGTCCGAGAGTAGTGCAGCGTAATGCTTTTTCTCGCCAAATTGGTTTTTGAGAAACTCCTCTAACTGTTGCCAGTTCTCGAATTCTTTAATGGAGCACGCACTTTCGGCACGGCCTTCGAGTTGGCTTAAAATATATTTTAATATTATGTCTTGTTGAGACGGTGACGCAAGGCTTATTGCATTTCTGCAATTATTTAAAAACGCATTAAGTTTTTCACGGTTTCCATCAAATTTATTAATGAATTTACTTAGAAAGTTCATGTCGATTACTTTTGTTTCTTTAGACATGGTAATAGGCTCGTCCTTAGGCATAGCAAGTTAGTCAAAACAAAGATAACGCGTGAGGTACGGAGTTGAGATTAGAATGGAATGTTGCACTATTCTCGGAACTGAACGATAAAAAAATAATACAATGAATGATTAATTAATTGTTACTAAGTCTAATACTTTTAAACTCTTAATACTTCAAATTAAATTGAAATTATGCGATGGACTTTATAGTTAAATTACTGACACTTTTTTTTTCACAACACGAATAGCTTCGATGTAGAATGAATGTACTTAAAGGAACACTGCAACTATGACGGCAACACGAATCATTTCGTAGCCAGGCGAGATCACCCAAGGTGAGTGATAGGTCTTCGGAGTATGCCCAACAAGGCACGTGAGGGTCTGGTAAGACCAGCAGGATACAGCGGTGTTAAATAAAGATACAGCGACACGGAGATAAGATTGGGATTTAGCGCTTTTTACCGACACAATTACACGTATATATGGAATTTATTTTGTTTAATTTTCACTGAATCGAGGCGTTCCGAGGATTTACTTATTTCGTTTAAATCCCTTAAGTTGCCACCAATGTTATACGGGACCTCGTAAACTAGGTTTTAAAAAAAGCACTTTTATTACACAACGGAAATAGTATAATTTAGAAATAGAAATGGTTACAAATTTTAATTAGTCCGGAGTCGAAACTAGCAGACACGAGATGATACAGAGGTGTTATGGATTCAGCGGTCGGTCAGAGACTGACTTGTTCCCGGGAGCGGGAAGCAGAGCTGCCTTTAAATGATGACATGACTATTTAGAGGAAATTATTATATTATTAATATTCACATATTACCTATGATTAAGGGTTTTCCCTAGCATTGGGAAACCGTAACAGTACGTTCATGTGTTTTTACGAGGCAATCTATGAGGGAAGGCTTATGTTCAGTAGTGGACTTTTAAAAGGCTATAATAAACAAACAGATCAATTTTAAGATTCTTAACCATCAACTCTTGATCCTGTGGCATGACAACCTTTTTCTGATTATATAAATACAGTGGAATCTATGTAAACATGTAGGAAGGATATCAAATAATTAAAAGATCTTGTATGTATATATTATTAAATTCAATTTATTGTGCAAGTTGATTCTATTTAGCTTACAAAACTCCATTTGTGACTCGTTTTAACGTTTTCTAGGAGCGTTCAATAAAATGTGCGAATGAGAATGCCATATTAGCAAGTAACCCTTTAGTGTAATACACTTCAATATCTTTTTACGAATCTTAATATGTATTCCCTTTCTAAGGAAGTCCTTATTCTGAGACCTGAGCACCTAAAAATCCTGTACTGTAGCAACTACTGCTTCTTCATCCTCAAATCTCTGTCCTCTCTGATAATCCTTCAATCTAGGAAATAGATAGAAATCACTAGGCGCAAGGTCTGGTAAATTTGAAGGATGCTCAATGTATTTCAATTGCATTTTGAACTGCAACCATCGCAACGGCAGACTTATAAGGCGGGGCGTTATCTTGATGAAACGAAACAATTTTTTCAACTTTGCCTTGTTGTTTCTCGCAGGATCTTTGCGCATTCTTTATTTCTTCTGTGTATAAAATGCCTTTGACAGTAGCTCCATGATCGAGATATTCAACCATTGCTACCCCTAGACTAAAATATGAATTTCTTAGAGTTGGCAATGATGTCTTTTCCAACTCATCTACTATAATTGTTTCGGGATCGTAATGGTAAAGGCAAGTTTCTTTCCTTGTTATAAATTGAGTCAAAAACCGATCAGTACCTTGTTGCGACAGTTTCGAAAGCCTGAGGAAATATTCAGCCTGGATTTTTTATGCGCATCGGTAAGACGGTTCATTTATTCATACCGTTATTGGTTCGAGAACTTAAAAAAATTCGTTTCCTAACATCGTATTATATAATTAACTCCGTTTAAACTTATGTTAACGAAACTGACAAGGTTTTTTTTTAAATTTAAAACAATTTATATCTTTATTATTATTTTTTAATTTTTTGCCAAAGGCTACTTTTTGCCAAACTGCAAACAAATGACTTCTACTTTTTAAGCCTAGATGCAAACATCAGGTTTCCTGATTAGGTTTCAGATTCGCACGAAAGCCGAATCGACAACCTCCTCTGTTTTTGAAGTCAGCTGAAAACCGAATGACGTCATTCGAAACCAATCTGAACGCAGAACGCATTTAAGTTTAGGTTTTTGAGTAACGTTTGGTATATCATAAAAATATTAACCCTTTCGCTGTCCCGTTCACTACATATAGGTCATTGCTATTGTCTTACTATTGTGTCTGGAAACCGGACAGTGAAAGTGTTAAAATCATTATGTTGCGGTTCTTTTCGTAATGGACTGTGTATGCAGTTTTGCAAAGTATCAGATTCTACTCACATTCTGCAGAAATCAAATAACGTATCTTATCGTGCTCGTAATTTTGTTGTCTTGAAATAAAATGGACTCCTTTTATTCTATGCCAGCAAAAGCGCAATAGCATTTAACACGTCATCCTGACGTACGTTTACGATATCGTCACTGAACGTATTAGCAGTACTAAATTCCTAATAGAAGGAAACGAATGTGTGCTCTAGGATAACAGATTCCCAAATCTGAATTCCTGATACGGAAACCTTCATGGTTACGTCCAGTCTAAACAAAGAAAACCCGTCAATAGATATCTTACAGATGCTCCAATTTTACTAGCTAGTAAGCATGTATTTACTTTTTTAAATAACAGACACTTGTTTATTGAACGCCCCAGATAAGTAAATAAAATATTTATGAAATCTTAATTGATACATATCAATAGACTTGCCAACTCTACAGAGGTCATTTGAGGAAATGTCGCGGTACACATGACACTATTAAGTAATTTGTGATGCAAAAATTTAGAATGATTTTTTTTACGATGATTTTGTTCAAATAGATACAGATAATATGTGAAATGAAAGTGATTTTTGTCGTTTTTCCGCCAAATTTCATCACCTTTTAATACATATAGCTAATAAAATAAAGAATGGTAAATATATTGAATAAAAATTGTTATTAGTTACGACGTTTTTTTAATAAAAATAAAGAATCGTACGTTTTCACAAATGAATATTGTAAAAAAAAACATTTTTATAATTATCATAAGATGATTGACTGTTCAATGATTTTCGGGACATAAGGCGTCTAGCAAGGACGTTTTATCAGGACGGCATACATTATTATTGTCCAGATGCAGGATGTCCCGGAAATCCGGGACAGTTGGCAAGCTTACAAATTACCTAAATAAATAACTTAGCTTTATCATAATTTTTATATTAAATTATATTAAAGCATGTACATGAAAAATATGTCGTAGCAAAATTTAAAGGCTCTATATAAACAACAACAATAAAATGTAAACTACATACTCATAACAAAATAAGGGCTACCCGTAACTATAAACAACAATTAGGTACTTGTGTTAAATGTTTAGTGTGTGTCACTGACGTAACTAAATTCTATCAAGTGAGTACTTTTAAATCTTGGGATTAATATGAAGACGCTAGAAATTTATACTTTGAAGATGTTTAATGTCAAATTTCTAACTAATGTTTCTTCAAAAACTATCAGTACGTACACTTTATTACGACCCTTTACTTGCATTATTCTGTGTTGTGAGAAAACGTATGAACGTAATTACAGATACTAGAATTGTAACATTAATCTAGAGAGTCATAGTCAGTGCTCTGTAGGTTTAAGGTTTTTAGAACTTCATGAAGGCCAACAGTACTTAAGAACACGCATGGTTCGCATCTAGTTAACTGCTACACATCGTGTAAAATGTAAATATACGTGGTAGAGCCATGCTGCAGCTATATTGGGAGTATAGTTGTAGCACGACTGGGTCGGCTCGACTGGGGAAGGACCACGCTCTCACAGAATACCAGCGTAAAATAGCAGCTTAACACTGCTGTGTTTCATATATACGTGAGTGTAGAGAACCGGAGACCTTTTTTACTTATCTTAGTCTCACGGCTGACAACGCATCTGCATTTTGATTCGCAAACGAGGATACATGTAGATGTCTATGGGCCACAGCAACCACTTGCCATCAGGTGGACTGTGTGCTCGTTTATCACCCTATCCTATGAAAATATTGTTTAAGGTTACCATGGCAACACCCGTTTATGAGCGTCTAGGATTGGGCTGCAGTGCTTTTTACTAATAAGAGCATGCTTAAGCTTCCGAATGACGATCGGTGCATTAGAGCGTGCATAAAATCTGACGAAGGATTTCAGATCGCTGCATCCACAAAGCAGTCCGTTATGGCGGACCCAGCGTTATGGTTTGGGAGAGATAACCTTAGGACAGAAAACAGAGCTCGTAACTCTTAACGGGGATCGTTCGGTCGGATCAGCCCGACAACATAACATTAGCAAAGCAAGCTGGACCAATGTTCATCTTGATGTAGGATAATTCCCGACTGCGTACGGTGAGGCTTATAATATCCACATTAGCTGAAACTGGAATTAAAGCGCTACAATGATCAGCCACGAATCCGTATCTGAATCCCATCAAGAGATTGAAGTTAAAAAAAGTGTTAGAAAAATTCCTATAAACAGTACCTAAACAACTGCATAAATGCTAAGAAAACATGTTAAAAAATTAGTTTAAAGTTATAGACAAGAAGATGTCCCATCCGTTTGAAAACGTCACTTTTCCTTAAGTTTTAATTATTTTCTTTTATTATTTTAGTAAATTATTACTAATACCATGTTTTGAGTTATTTAATTTAAAATAACCTATTTTAACGAATTTGAGCCAATATCACTTGCAGATGATTCTTAAGATAATTCACAAAACTCGGATAACCCTTAATTTGTTTTGAGTAGTTTATGTAATTGAGAATAAATTGTGGCGGTATAAAAATACGTGTGAAATAACATGTTTTAGGAATGCTTTTGGGCCCATTTCATGTCGTCTGCTCGAGGCTTACAACCAGTTAAAGCTTCAATAACAATCTCGAGCGTAGACCAAAAGTGTAACTTTTCTAAAGGCCAGTTTAACCAGCCTGTGGTAATACAGAAGTAAGTCTCGTGCGGCGCAACGTGATGTATTCGATGGTGACGACGTGGTAGCACTATGTGCCATTCTTGCAACCAAATTACCCATATCGGTAAACCGAAATATGTATGCGACCATTTATGAATCTGTAATAATGTATAAAAAGTTAAAGTTACAGCCTACTACGTGCCATTGCTGGGCACAGGCCTCTTCTTATTTCTGAGAGGGTTTTAATGCAAGGAAGTGTTCGCCGCGCTGCCACAATGCGTATTGGCAAATTCCACATGTCTTCAAAATATTTTTTTTCGGATTTTTTAGATATGCAGGTTTCCTCATGATCTTTTCCTTCACCGCCGAGCACGTGGCAAATCAGCACTTACAATTGCAATTAACAATCTCATTGGTGCTGGCGGGGTTCGAACCCGGGTTGTTCGCGTACTGTGAAATTTACAGCGAGCGCTAACCATCTGAACTACCACGGCTCCCAATAATGTATGTATTTAAAAATATTGTTATGTAATA